TAGACAGCACCTGTGCCGAGCGGAGGGGTTCTCCCCTTGGTGGAGGCAGTCCATCTCCCTGAGTAGTGGTAACTAGGTCGACGGAAGAATTCTTCTGTTGACCTAGCGCTGTCTACACTAGGGGTTAGGTTGGCTTAGTTACACTGCACAGGAATGTGGATTCTTCCCGTCCCTGAGTGATGTAGCTGGGTTGACCCTACTTTTTCGTGTAGACCAGGCCTGAGTGTGAATGGGTTTTAACTCTTGAGTTGGTTCAGCCAGCTGCTTTAGGCTTTCTGCAGACAGGGAGCCAGTGCCATCAGTGAGTCTGGAAGCGTTACAATTGCTAGCGAGGGAAGGAGGTTGGGAAACAAAGAAAATCCCCGGGATGAAGGGCGGGGGGGAAAAAACCCACTCAACTTGTATTGTGACTGAAAATCTCCAAAGTCCTAGAACAAGGAAAGGAGGGTTGACTCGTAATGATAATGCTTTTAAAGAAATCCCCCAGCTCCACATGTTGTTTTTTTTGGCTGCTGTTGCTTAATAAGATCATCATTGCATAGGTGAGGCTTTGAAGTTAAAGCTCTGGTAAGGTGAAGTGGGGCTGCAGAGCTCCACACCTTTCCCTGCTCCTGTTGTGTAGCTGGAGACAATGGTCTGAGTCAGCTACCGGGAAGGTTCTCTGGGCGGGGGCAGAGCTGGCAGCGTTATCTTTCTAAAGGAAAAGGCGGAGTCTGCAAAATGCAGCTCCCAAATGGAGGTAGACGCACTAAAAATGTAGAACGTCACCCCCCAGGAGCCCCTGGAATTTGCCAGTGTCCAAGGGACCCTGGGGCTCAGCACAGCACTGCATGGACATGAGCCATGTCTTGAGGGAAATGGAAGGCCAGTCGACCGTAATGCCTGCCTAGCGCCCGCTCCCCAGGCACAGTATTAGGCTGTTGGCATTTGATGCGCTAGCCTTGCGTTTGCTTTGCTGGTGGTACCGAGAACTAGTTGTACTGTACGTGCCCCTCCCGTCTTCAGCTCAGATGTGAGATTTGTTCTGCAGTTGGTGCCCAGGCTGGCTTCTGTCCAGCTACAAGAATGTAGAGTTGTGTGCTGTGGATCCCAAGCAGGGGGTGGGGGTGGAAGGCAGCAGGGGTGTTTCTATGGCTTATGAGAAAGGGGAAATCAAGCCACTCCCCTCCCCCTCCACCCTGGCCCTGTGAGGAGGTTGGGAAGATCTCGCCTCCTGGAAAACCTGTTTGGTCGGAAACGACCAGCAATGCTGGAGGCCTACTGTGCAGCCAGCTCAAAACCTCCTGACGTGAGCTTCTGTGCCCTCCCGCGGGTGTAAACAGGTCACCTGAACCTGATGGTATCTTCCACTTCTGCGTGTAGCACCTTGGCTCCCTCGGGGAGATGGGAAGGGCTCTGACCCCCTTTGCTCAGACTCCTGACCTGATGAAGTGTCCCTCCACCTGGGGAGTGGTGGGAAAGAGAAGACAGCCAGGGCAGGACGTGGGGAAGGGTCTGCTCTCTCCCTCTTTCTCTGCTGGTTCCTCTGATTTCTTTCTCAAGACAGTTTCCAGCAGATGGAGAATTGGGGACAGGGGTGCTGATGCAACCTTTGCCTACCTGCAGGTACCTCTTCAGCAAGGAGGAGAAGGCTAATAAGGGATGGGGATGTTTGCGCTAAAGGCAGAGGACTAGGAGTTGGGGTTCCCAGGCTCTATGTGATGTGGGTGAGTCAGTCTCTGTGTGCTTCAGTGTTGCCATCTGTGAAATGGGGATAATGAGGCTCACTCACAGGATGCAATGCCAGCGATCATTGTTGTTGTTATTATTAGACCATCCAAGAACGTGCTCTGTGTTGTGAGACCGCAGCCATTCCTGTTCGAGATTCCTGGCTGGCAGATGCCATGTCAGGGCTGCAGAGAATGGTCTGACTAATGATCCCCTCATGGAGAGCTGGCATTTCAGATCATCCCTTTCCTGATCTGCAGACGTTTGGTTCCTCACTCCACCTGAAGGCAGTGGAAAGGAGCCTCAGTCTGGTGTGATTATAACAGAGTCGAGGAAGTGGGGTTCTGATCTGTCCCTTGAGACTGTCTGTCTCTCCAGCCAGAACGATTTGTGTCTGCTGTACTTTCCATTCCATGTAAGACCAAACTTCATTAGTAGCCGAGAGGCAGCATGGCCTAGTGGATAGGGTACTGGTCTGAAAGCCAGGAGACCTGGTTCCATTCCTGCCTCTGCCACTGACTTGGTATGTGACCTTAGTCAAGTCACTTTACCCCTCTGTGCCTGTTTCCCCTCCCACTCTTTGTCTTCCTTGTCTGTTTAGATTGGAGGGAGGGCAGAGATCATCTCTTATTGTGTTTCTGTACAGCCCTCAGCACAATGGGACCCTGATTTCAGCTGGAGTCTCTGAGCACGACTGTAATATAAATAACCAGCTGCGTCTGAGGAGAGCATACCCAAGCGGTGCAGAGGCCACACTCCAAACAGCGTGTCCTGTCTCCCTACAGGGCTGTAAGAGAGGCAAGACGCTCTGTGGGGTTACCCATGTTTCCTCTCCCTAGCTCAGCAATCACTCTGCCATGTCACTTACCAGCTGGGGGTTGTGCTCTCTGCACTGAGTGGCTCTTTCCTTTGGCCAAGGCGGGGGCTGTAAAAAGCCACAGGCCAGCAGCGACTGACTGAGGCATGAGAAGGGACTGTCTGTGCTCCCTGTGTAAATGCGCCTGCTAGGACCCCCCCTCAAACACTCCTCTCTCTTTCCAGCTCATGTGGCAGGATCCCCCTCGGGCCCTGAGGAAGGGAGCAGGGCAGGCTTCTGTGTGTCTGGAGTCGCCAGACGGGGAGTACGCTGGAAGCTCCTGCTGCAGTGGCTCAGTTGGCGGGTTGTCTCCTCCTTGGGGAGTCCAACCCCCCCCGCATATGGTGCTAGACACCGAGGCGGAGAGCGCCCCTGGGGGCAAGGCAGAAAGGCGGCGGTGACACGGGAAGGCCAGCAGCTCCTCGCAGCTACATCAGCTGTTGTGCGTCAGGACCTGCCCCCTCCTGCTGGTCAGGTCACTGTGCCGGAGGGTGGTTTGCTCTGCGCACAGGGCGGAGAGGGAGGTTTACCTTCTGAGCACAAACAGGAAGTTGCAGGTTACTTGATCCCTCCAGGTGAGCGGCTGGGTTCGTAGGCGCTGCTTGAGCGGAAGCCCCGTGAGACACCTCAGGTGGAGCCGGCTGGCGGTGTCCTGGAATCCAGCTGCAGCCACGAGGGGAAAGAAAATACAACTGGTAAGTTACTGGGGTTTGCTGTGCTGTCTCCCTGGGGCCTAGAGTCCGGCTGCGGCCCAAAGCGGAACCAGGCTCCTGTAGTGGCAGAGGGCTTTTGGGAGGCCTGAGCCAAGGCAGGCAGTTCAGCATTTCCAGTTAGGGTCAGAGGCTACAGGACAATTCCTTCAGCTTCTTTGCAAAGCTCCCAGATCCGTGTGAAGAGCAGGGGACCCCGCCCGATGGGCTAGGCAGGGTTTTAGCAGAGGCCTGGTCTCCTCTTAAAACGTAGGTCGACCTAGTAATATCACTCAGAGCTGTGAGAAGTTTCACGCCTGAGCACTGTCATTGGGTTGACCTAACCCTGGTGTAGACGGGCTAGGCTGACTGCAAGATTATTCCACGGACCTAGCTACCAGCCCTCGGGGGCGGATTAATGACATCAGTGGAAAACCCCCTTCCATCGGTGAAGGCCGTGTCTATGCCACGGAGCTATATGTGGCCAGAGTGTCTAAACCCACTGGCGGGGCTTGGTCCTTCTCTTGCTAACGCTGGTGTGACTTGGGAGTGACGCGCTGAATTCAGTGGGGTCACAGCGGAGCGAGAGGGGAATCAAGCCCTGGGGGTTTCTCTCTGGCTCTGCTGGAAGGTAAAAGAAATGAAGCTCCGGAAAGGATTGGATTGCTGAAGGAGGGTGGCCAGAAGCTCGGTGGTGGAGGGGCAGGTGGGACACTGCCTCTGACCCCTACAATCTCAGTCCATTGACGTGAGCAACCTGCTTACTGAACATGAAACCAACACGACGCCATCGGCACTTAACTCGGTGGCTTATGGGGAAAAATTGTAGGGCCTATTGAAAGTTCAAAGGAAGGTGGAGTAACCAGGAGCTGGCTGCACGCGGGAGCTGAAGGAAGAAAGGGGACTGGGACAGAGCAGCGCTGACCAGGCCTTTGATTGTCTCAGTTTGGAAAGAGCACAATGGAGGGCAGCGTCAGGGCTGGAGCAGAGGGGAGCATCCCTGGGATGTGGTTTCTGCAAGGTCTATTTGAAACACCCCCTCTCTCACATTTTCTCCTCCCCTCTCCCCCTGCATTGGCCACGCTGCTGTTGGGATGGGGCATCAGGCTGCAGTCTCTGCTGCTGTGGGGCGGGGTAGTAATGGGCCAATCTAGGCAGCCAAAGGGGGGCTGGTTATTGTGCTTGTGGCAAAACTCCCCAGGCTTAGAGGGGAAAGTTCCCCAGCCCGCCGGTGACGACCACGTGGTCGCTGTGGGTCCACGGGAAGGTTGTGCAAACTCCGTGCGAGTCAGTGAAGTGCACAGACGGGGGACGGGGGGTGGGGGGGGACGGGGGGTGGGGGGGGCGGGAAGGGGACCTGGCTTTTGCAGGTGGTTTGAAGTGCCCAACACGGTGGGGGAGGGCCCCACACTTTGATTGCTGCTCACTGCCGTGGCCACCGTCATTCGGTGCTGCGGGGGCGAGACACGGCTGCGTCAGCAGCGGGGTGCTCTGGGCCCCGTTTCACAGGCCTGCGACTGCTTTTGGTGCCTCTTTTCCCAATGTGCCTATTAGCTCTGGAGGAGAGAGAGGTGCCGGCTCTGAGGCCTTGAGGATGCTGCTGAAAGCTGGGTTCAGTGGATGTAGGGCTGGAACATCCCAATGGTTTGTGTCTCCTTCTCTAGCAGCTGCCCCTGAGGGGTGCAAAGCACTGCCCAGACATTACTGAGTTAAATCTCTCAGCTGCCCTCAGAGGTTGCTCCTCCCACTGGGCGTGCCCTGTGGAGTGCGTCAGCACCCACTCTCTCTGTCCATGCCTGCTCTCTCTGTCCGTGCCCAGGTAAGTCTGTTCGCAGGCCCAAGGGTGAGACTTTGTTCAGTGGGACAAGCCATTGACCATGCTCGCGGCTCCCCGTTGCCATTCAGGAGGGCTGCCTCGCATGTATTTGCAGGCTGATAGCCAAGACGCTGAGATAGCTGGAGATCATGGCAATGGGTACCCTGGATCTTTATTTCTTCACATTTTCTATAGCGTCTTTTGCCCTTGGATCTCAAAGCTCTTCCCACAGCTGGATAACTATCAGGCTGTACTGTGCTAGGGTCTTCGATCTGCTACGCCAGCTAGCTGGCTTGCAGCTTTGGGGGCAGAACTAGACCTGGCATTTGGTAGCTGGCAGGGAATGCCCCTGCAGAGCCTGCTGGGTTCCTTCTGCCTCCAAAGCAAAATTAACTCCATTTCTAAGTTCTTTACAAGGGACCCTTTTTTTTTTTGCACTCCAAGCCTGGTTTTTGTGCTTGCTAGAGGAGATTGGCTCCTCATTCTGAAGCAGGAAAGACGAGTTTTCAGGGGCTAGTTATCCTGGCAGTGGATGTTTGACTCAGCTGTCCGGCTCTTCAGGGGCGGGGGCATTCCCCTTTTGCTGGTGACTGACCGCTCTGGTTCTGAGCCCAACCTTCAAGCAGGCCGCAGACTCATTGTCACTGATGTATGGACCAGGAAATGGCAGATAAGTGAAGATGCATTTGTCTGTTAGCCCCGTGGTGCAGAGGGAGGCAGAGTGAGGTGAAGTGACTAGACTGAGGTCACACGGGGGGGGGGGGGGGTGTCTGCAGCAGAACACAGAGCTCCTGGCTCCCAGTCCCCAACTGTCACCTGCCAGAACGGGTAAAAAATGAGTGCCCTTCTGAACCCCCTCCAGAGCTAACTCCACATCTCCTTTCTGAGCTCCGGAAGAGCTCCCTGACCAGTCATTTTCTCCTGCGCTTTGGCTGGGACCGGATGTGCTGAGGGGCCGGGAGTGAGGCTGCCTTGCCAAGGTTTTCCCAGTCCCAAGATATTCCGATGAGCAGCTTGACCTCCCGGTGCATTTCCCATGCGAATCGCTGTGCTTTGCCCGTTGCTAATCCCCTGGGCTAATGAGAGACAGGAGCAGTTGTAAGCTGTTTAAAATGCCCCTTCGACTAGGATTAAGGAGGGGGAGGGCGGTGGAAAGAAAGAAGCCTCCAGTTTACATAGCACTGCGTTGTAGGGAGTTGCACTTCATGTGAGTGCTGGGAGCTGTGTACACGCGTCTGTGGCACATCAGAGCTTTCTCAGGGCCGCTCCTCCTAGGCATGGTAGGGTTGGTGCAAAGTAATGAGGGTCCTTCGCCTGGCTCCTTCTATATGTCCCCTCACCCTAAATTCCAGCTACCTCTTGCCTCCGTGACATCAGCCCCTGCTCCCTGCGTGTCTGGGCGTGCAAGAATTCAACACAGCAACTCTCCCCAAAGGTCACACTGAGGGTGACACTCACCGAGTGGACCCCGGAGGCCTCCGAGTGCTCAGCATGTGTTCACAGCAAGATCCCCCAAAAGTGTGGGTGGGCCCCCTCGACATTAGCTCTCCTCTGTCTGCCCCTCAGCAGGGGGGGCACATGGCTGTCTCAGGGCTGTGTTTCCTAGCCCGGCACCTGTGCTTCTCATTGGCAGACAGCAGCTCCTCTCTGTGGCCCCCTTCCCCAGACTGAGGCCCTGTCATTGTGACAAGCTGAGCAGGGATATGGGGAGGGGAGGCTTCCCGTAGAGATTCCCTGGTGTAGCATCCAGCTGCCCGGCGCGATCACTTTTCCACGTGCGTGCAGCGGTGCCCGGTCATGGACCCCCCTCTGCAGTACCGTTCCCTCACACTCGTGGCTCCAGATGAGCCGGCCCGGCCATCAGGCTGAGTGTCGCTGTCCCCTTTGGAGAGCGTGGGATGCTTCCACCACGCGTCCCGTTCAGCCAGGCTGGGACATGCAGGGAAGAGAGGCGCACACAGGCTGTTTGCCACAGGAGCCGCAGCACAGAGCTCCCCGGCCTCCCGAGGGGCTGCCTAACCCATCAGCAAGGGAGGGCGTCTGGTCTCCTGGGGCAGGGGTCCGAGCTCAGGGTGAGCCCAGTCTTTGCGAGGGAGGTGAGAGATGCCTCTGCAGATCCTGGGACAGTTTAAAGAGCTGTCTAGGCAAGGGCCCTTTCTGTTCTCTGGGGCCCTGTCTCACCCATTCAGCCATGGGGGAGATCCCGCAGTTTGGATGATCTGGACGCTGGGTTTTTAGCCCTCCATGTTTCCATGGGATGTTATTTCACATCCCCCACTGATATCATGTAAATCTCCTTCGTGCAGATGGCTGTGGCTCGTGGGCAGCTCCCCGGGGGGCAGGGGGGATGCATGGGGCATCCCAGCAGACCAAGGGGCAGGGGCCCAGGGGGTCGGCTGGGCATCCCATCTGGGAAGAGGGCAGGTGATGGTGGGGTGGGCGGGGAAGCCTGGCTGCGGGCCATGGAGGAGAAGGGGCTCATCATGGCAGGAGGCCAGGCTGTAACTGCCTGCTCTCCTCCTTCCTTCCTTCCCCTCTTTTCATTCAAGGAATTGTCTAGAGCCGCTCTCCCTCTATTGGGGGAGGTTTCTATTTGAAGTGTCTCTGCCTCTGTCCATTGGCTGGCGGGAGAGACCTGGCTGGAAGGGGGGCGGGGCCTGTGCCTTGAAATAGGAAGCCCGGCGTGGGTCTCCCCCGCCTCCTGGCGAAGACGGCAGGCCTGCCCGTGCCTTTGTCTGGCTGAGCTGGCAGAAGCAGGAGGCAGCATCGTTCCGTAGGGAAGCGGCACGCTCCTGCCAGCTCTCGGCTGTGCACTGATCTCTGTTCCCTTCTTTGCAGCGAGTGGAGCGTGACCCCGGGGCAGACCCCACCAAGGCTGCCGGCTCCTTGGACTCTTCGCTCCAGGCTCCTCTGGAAGATCAGAGGGATTTTGCTGCCGGGACTGACACTCAGCCTTAATCTTCGCTACCGGACATGGGTGGCATGTGACCCTTGATGGACACTGCTGCACAGGGCACGGCAGAGCCAGCAAGCAGAGTGGGCGGCGTGGGGAGGAGCAGCTGGGGGGGCGTGCAGCAGCTGAGCAGCATGCCCGTGGAAACCCTCCAGGCTGGGGACGTGATGAAGGGGGTTTCGGTGACGGCGCCCTTCACCTCGGCCATGCCATTCCGGATCCTCAACAAGGGGCCTGAGTACTTCCGCCAGCAGGCGGCCACCGGTGCCAAGAAGCCCAGCGCCGTGGAGAGGCTGGAGGCGGACAAAGCCAAGTACGTGAAGAGTCAGCAGGTCGCCAGCACCAAGCAGGAGCCGGTGAAGCTGCTCTTGAAGCAGCCCCTCTTCACCCCGGGGGTCCGGAGAGCCATGCTGATGCCAAACCGCAAGACCCCGCAAGGGGGCCGCAGGGTGGAAGCCTGTGGGCCAAAGACCTCCTTGAACCTGGAGATCCTCAACAACCTCATCAACATCTGTGACAGCCCCCTGCCCTTCCCCAAGTCGGAGAGCCCCCGGGAGCACAAGTGGAGAGCAGAGACGAGGGAGCCCCTGGGCAAAGAGCTGGGTGGGCACCCCGCTGTGCGGAGGAGGAAGGGCCCTTCGGATGGCATGAGCAAGCTGTCGGAGAGCTCTGTCACGTCCAAGCCCTCCAGCACGGTGGCTGTGCGCAGAGTGGATGTCCGGCCCTGCGGGGTTCATCGGGCCAGGGTGACCCCAACCATCCAGGTCACCCCCATGCCTGTCTCACCCGCCAAGGCCAGGATCCCCTCCACCAGCTCCCTTAGCTCACCAAACAGAAGCCCCCACGACAGGCGGACAGACAGCGCCAAGCGGCAGACCCTCCTGCACAGGTCCAAGTCCGACCTGAGTGACAGGTACTCCCGGGCCACGGCCGACCTGGAACGCTTCTTCAATTACTGCGGGCTGGACCCCGAGGAGGTCAGGGACATAGGGGCGGAGCACTGTGCCCGGGCCAGCTCGGACATCGTCTCCATCAAGTTTCACAGCGTCAGCACCACCAGCTCGGAGTGCACCCGTTCCCAGCACAGTGCCGCCACCCTGGAGGACAAGCAGGCGGAGCGCATGCCCTACGGCATCTCTGTCATCGAGCGCAATGCCAGGGTGATCAAGTGGCTGTACGGACTACGGCAAGCCAGAGAGCCCCAAAAGGTATCCAACGTATAGTGACTCCATGGATGCCACGAACTCTGATGGCAAAGCCTTTGAGCGTGTGTGTGTGTGTGATGTACAAGGGGGTGTTTTAATTTCTTGCGTGACTCAGTCTGGTCCTGCTGGGAAACACCCTGTGGTGGAGTCTCACTGACAGAGCATCCTTTAACTCTAGTCCCTGTCCCCTGTTGGCCTCCCCTTCCCCTTCCCCTACCCCTGGCCCGCGGCCTTCAGAGATCTGGTCCCTGCAGCAACGAGATGTCGCCGAGCCGAGAACTTCGAGAGTTGCAAGGCCCTAGCAATGAGAGAGGGCGAGTTTCCTTGGCACGGGGGCCGAGGGGAGGAGCGGGGCCAGCCTGGCAGCACAAATGGGACTTTCAGTAGTCTCCGGAGTTACTGCAGGGCTGCGCATTGCCCCGGTCAACAGAGCTGGCCCTGGGAAGGGGTTTCCTTCCTATTAGGCACTGGTCTTGTAAATATGCAAGCTATTAATAAAGAGCCTGGAGTATAGTCCCCCGTGAGCCAGTGAGAGGGCAAAGGGCTGGCTTGCACCTGCTTGCCTGGATCATATTTGGCACCTGCCTGCACCGTTCTCGGAATCCGCGCCAAGAGGACTGTAAACGCCCTCGCTCTCCTGAGACGGTTGGAAGCACACACGTGTGTACACACCTCGTGGGCGAGCCCAAGGGAATATCTGTGCAGCTCATGGGCCAGCCAACACACGCCCGCCTCCTGCAGGGCGGCTGAGGATCTGGTTGTTGCAGTGGAGGGCTGTTCTCCAGCCCTGCGTGCACAACACAAACACAACCCCCGCAAAGGCTCTGCCACAAGCTGCCAGGAACTCGGGGGATCTGGTGTTAAGACCCCTCCCCTACCCTGGACTGCACCCTCCGTCCCAGGCAGGGGTGGACCAGTTGTGCGGAGCCTGCCCCGTCCTGCCGTGTTAGCGGGCAGGAATGTTCTTAGCAGGGTCGGCCACGTTAGCAGAGCTCCGGTTAGTGGTAGAATCCGAAGTGTGTCTCATGCACCCTAGGAGCCGGTTTGTGTCAGCCCAGCTTGTGGTGCCTCGAATGAGGAGCCACCGTCGGGCACGTCATTCAACTTTTGTTCTTCCGCAAGGCCTAGTGTGCCGCCGGCTGGCTGGCTGGGGTGCGCGTGTGCCACGCCCTCCATCCCTCAGATGGTCACCTCAGGGGTCCTCTGAAACCCCCCAGACCAGCAAGTCTTTGTGTTTTATGCTCGGCCTTACTAGCTCCCAAAAGTGTTAGAGACAAAGCAGTTTTAGGAGGCAGCTTGATCGAGATGAAACTTAATTTTGGTTTTGTTTTGTTCTACCCTGAAACTCTCCACTCTGCTTCAGTTACCAAGAGAACATGGCCCCCCTCTGCACAAGGTTTCTAGGGGAGTGAATTCTCCCAACCCACATTAGTTAAGCTCTTTTGTGGGGAGGAGGAAATGGGTGTCTACAGGAGAAATCCTTGGGTTGTCGAGGACCTGGAGTTTGGAGCGATGGAAACAAACTCATCTTCGCTGCACGGAAAGAACAGCCAGGTCTGCTCTTTGAACTGTCAGCCCAAGCGGCATGCTCTTCTGCTCCGTGACTCCGGAGGGGCCATGGCAGATCTGTCCCTCCTGAAAGTCCCCTTTCAGTTGTACTTTTATCTTGCTGCCCTGGCTGTTGGCTTTGCTCCCTGACTCATTCTTTTCACAGCTTCTACTTTGCTGTAGTTCTGTGTACATTTCTCTGGAAGCCAGCTTGCCTTTTAATAGCTGATCCCTTGGGGAGATGCTTGTGTGTGTGCAGGGGCGGGGGGAAGTGACCCTTGTAAGTGACATATAATAGGAAAACTATTCTTTGCGGGGTTACTAGTTACTTCCACTGGAAACAGTCTTATCACAAACTGCCCTGATGCATCCCCTTGATGTTGTGCATCTTGATTTCATGCCCCAGCAGAGACGTTCCTCATGGATAACTGCCTGCCGCGTGGAGCTGTTGGGAAGCGAGTGTAGATTGGCGGGAGCTTTATGAACTGCCTGGAGGAGATCAATATAACCTCCTTCCCCAAGCTGGAAAGCGCACGCAGGGCAGTACAGTAGCGTGGGAGGGACAGTGCCACATGCCAGTGCTGGCTCAATAAAGCTCAGCAGCGAGGCTGAAAATAGCAAGAGACTCGGCTGCTTAGCCATAAAGGCAAAAATCTACCTCCTCAGTGTAGGCTTATCAAGGCTCTTGCTCTGTGTGTGTGTGTGTGTGTCTGTCTGTCTCTCTCTCTCTCTTTTCCTCTGCCACAGTCAAAAAAGCCCAAGAGCTCTGGGAATGCTGACCCCAGTTATTTATGAAGATGGTTCTGTATTGGTCTCGTCTCATTTTTACTGTATTTGCTGACGGTTGTTCTGTAAAAGCCTGACTGATTTTATTAAAGTCCTGTCCTTTGGATAGTCTGTATTTGTTTTGTTGAACTTGGCCGCAAACCAGCTTGACACCCCATAACTCTGGCGGGAGGACCACCCTGCAGAGGGATGGTTTCTGAATAAATGTAATCCCCTTTTTTGGGCTGATCTCACCACAGCTGGGTTCAAAGTGAGTAAATAATGGAGTTTGGGGGTACATATGTGGCCCAGGCAGGGGCCATGCTGGCATTTGGGGACCTGCCCTCTTCAGAAGGAGAAAATAAAATCAAAGTAAAATAAATCTCCCTCTTTCTCAGTTCTCTGCGCTGTTCACAGCGGAGAGTGTGACCAAAACCCTAGCACCTACTTGCCAGGCTATGCAGTACCGGGCTCATCAGTGGTCTGCCCTCAGTCCCCCAAAAGAAGCATCAGGATGTCAAGGGGTCCTCTGCACTCAGTGGCACCTGCAGGAGCTGGAGGGCCCTCCGCGGGGCTGGAGCGCAGCTAAGGAGGGGGATGGTGCCCATGGGGAATGGGCAGAAGGTGCCACTCTCCACAATTCCATAGTCCCTGAGCAGCTCTGCCAGGCTGATTCTGGCCTGCAAGGTGGCGTGTCTCAGCCACTGAGGTACAGAGCCTTCGGAGAAGGGAACGCCCTTGTTTAAGAGACAATCAAGGAGCAGGCAGAGCATGCAGTGGCTCAGGAGAGACAGAGATGCGAAACGGGCAAGGTCTCATGTCCAGTTAACCCTTGCCCGGCTGTTAGCTGGTGCTTGTGACCCAGAAGCTGGGCTCCAGGGAAGATCAGGGCATGCCTAGCAGGTTTCATGTGTAATCTGCTAAGTGCATGTTTAATGGCAAAGCATGTGTTGCCCTGCTGTGTAAGCCCCCATCTGTGCCAGCTTGAGGGCATGCCCCACTTCTAGTCAGCAGTGGAGCTGCAGAAGCATGTTTTTGGGGAGTGCTGGGGTGTTGCTGGCTGTCTGCCGTGTGAGCTGTGTTACCCACAGAGGCTGCTTGCAGCCCCTGTGGCTCATGCCATCTGCTTCTGCACTTGTCTCAGAGCTGGGGGCTGATGGTATAAGCTGCATGGTTGGACAGTTTCCCTCTTCATTACTGAAATCTGTAACAATCCAGGTTACAAAGGTCTTGAAGGGTTCAGGTGCAGCGGGAGAGAGGGAGACCTGTCCCCATCCTGCTCTGGTGAAGTTAAACTTGTTGCACCATCCTAGAAAGAAAGAAATCTCTGCACGGCACCAGTGCAGTGTGAGGGCATCACTGCCTCCTAGCCACCATGCTCTTTGGGCAGCAAAGCAACCACCAGTGGCAGAGGCTGCTGGAAGCATCCATGCGCTGCTGATTCCAAACCAGCAGCCAGACCCTGAACACGGGACTCCCCTCTGCAGCTGCGGAATGTCCCAAGGCAGAATCTTGCTTTGCGCTTTTACAGCACTCTGTGAACAGTCACTAATTAACCCCAGGGGAGGTTGATCAGTGCTGATAGGGGGAAGTGCTGGCTCAGCTCAGACAACCAGGGGCTTTCCATCAGCTCATCCTGGCACTGACAACAACTCTTTCTTTGATCCTGGGCAAGTCACTTAACCTCTCTGTCTCAGTTTCCCCATCTGGGAAATGGGGAAGGTGATCATTACGGGCAGGCATCTAAGGAAGATTGATTAAGGTTTCTGAAGGTCCCTGCAGAGGAAAAGTTCTAAGTATTATCTCCGGACAGCCCTGCCAATGCACCTCAATCCTGACCTATGCCAGCTCTAGTTTACTATGGGTGGGTCCCCATACAGTTCTTCAGATGCCCTTGTGTCACATCATCATACCTTTTTGTCAATGGAAGATACTTCTATGAAACAACTCCCCGCCCTCCCCTAAGTGAACTGTCTTTAAGAACTGGGATAGGAAATTTTCCACTTTCAAAGGCACAATCTCGGTGCATAATCAAAGGCCATTGAGGTCTTTTTTCAAAAAGACTTTGCAGTCGCATGAATTGGTAGGAAATCACGTAAGAAGCATAATTCTGACTTAGCTGGTAACGCACGAGCCCATGGTGTTTCTATAACTTGACTGGAGATTTCTAGTACCAGGACCTTGCCAAACAATGCGCCAACTCCTCCAGCTGTTCCCCAGCCCACTTTAACAATCTGCAGCAGGCTCACTGGTGAATCACATAGTCCAGATCCAGGTGTCTTCCGTCCAACCATCTGCTGGGCACACAGACTAAAGAGCAAAGCACAAAACCCCCCACGTCACTGTAAATAAATTCCTCTGGCCAGCCGATAGCAGTGGACTTGCACCAAGAGAGGGTTGCAGTCCATGGAAGTAGTTCCTACGGGCAATGAACAAAAGGCTGTTTCTCAGCCTCAGGCCTTGTCGACATGGGAAAGGGTTTTTTTGTCAGTATAAGCTAAGGTGTGAATTTAAGCCAGTCTAGTTCTGCTGCTGTAACTCCCCCTGGGTGGACTCTTGGGAAGGGGTTTTTAGCTAAACCAGAAAAAAGTCCCTCTAATACTGGACTAAGAGTGTTTCCATGCGGGGGTTATAGTGGGGTAACTATTGCATAGCTGGTCATGCTTTCCTGTGTAGACAAGGCCTAAAGGCCGTCAGAGCTTCTCGCAAGCAGTCAGCATCAAGTGTCCTTGGGAGACTGTGCGTTGTGTCGGAGCGAGGTGGGTGATTTTCCCCCCACACTGACGTGTGGTGTGTGCATGCCCTGCTCGCCTGTCCCCTATGCAGAGATACCCCACTGCCCTTTGATCTGGAAATGAAGCAATTCTCTGTTGTGGAAGGACCCTGCTGTCCATTGCACGTGTTTCTTCCTGTTGCTTAACTGTGGCATATTATTTTGATACAGATCAGGGGTTCCTCCCCCAGGTAATGACAGGTTGCTTTTGCGTGTCTGGTTTGCTGGAAACATTGATCTGGGTTGCATTAAATAACCAAAAGACTTCCTGCATCCCCATCAAAGGGGCGATCCAAGGGAAGGCCGCCAGCAGCTGATTTGCATGAAATCTTGTTCGCCTGATTGGTTTTAGAGTAGCAGCCGTGTTAGTCTGTATTCGCAAAAAGAACAGGAGGACTTGTGGCACCTTAGAGACTAACCAATGTTAGTCTCTAAGGTGCCACAAGTACTCCTTTTCTTTTTGCTGATTGGTTTTGATACCTCTCGACAGAACGGTTCAGGGCTATGCAAGTGGAGATCTGCCTTGTTTCTGGGTTTGTTGTCACATAGGGAGACCTCCGGAACACAGCTGTTAAACTCCCCGGTATTGATTACAGCAGGCACCACTCGGACTGGGCAGGAAGGCAGACGCAGGTCGAGGGACAAATTGCTACTGCCCCCATCTTGGCCCAGCACTGCCGGGTCTGAATCACCGTTGTTCAGAGGAGTGGATCAGAGAGGCTGGCCTAGTGGTACAGGAACGGGTGCTGTGACCTCAGGAGCTTCTGTAAAAAGACCTCGTCATGCAGCTTACAGGGGGGCAGATGTGTGGGGCCAGTGCGCCTGCTGATTGGTTTTTCCTTATTTAGAAAGTGATTGTAAATCCCAGCTGCACGTGCCCGCTTTGTCTAAAGGCGGCTCCTAATCCCCTGCACAAAGGGACAGAAAGCAGGGGCCAGTGTGTGGCCAGCCCGGCCTTCCCTTCTCTCCCTAGCCACAGTCTCCAGTGCGAGGGGAAAAGAGGTAACCGGAGACTTACGGCTGATCTGGGGCAGCTCTGGGGAGTCTCTAGGGAGACTTCAAAGATTAAGAAGTGGAGAAGGCACCTGCTCACGTTCAGAGCTCTCTTCTTCCCTGCCCAGCCCCTATAACAGGACCACACCAGGGTGCTTAAGCGACAGCAGCCTCAGGCCTGACCCTGCTGAATTGCCAGCGCAAAACAAAACCGTGCAAGTCTAGCGAAGAGAGCTCAGCACGGCTGGTCTGAAACGCAAGCGCTGGGGGGTCACCCAGGCTCGAGCGCACAGGGTTAGTGGTCTTGGGATGACAAGGGCTCTTTCTTCTCTATGCCACTTCGCATGTGCCTCTTGGACAGCTGAGTACAGCAGCGATCTGGGCTAGGGTTTGTCTGAAGCAGCAGCTGAATGGCCAGGTGCCAGAACACCCCAGAATCTGGAGTGTCGAGGAGCAAAGGAGGATGCAAAAGTCAGGAACTTAAAAGACAAATGGAGCCCCAGCGGTGAATTATTGCAACTGTGCACTGGGCACCTCGCCCTGCACCCTGGTCTCAGTGCACAGGAGGAGAATCGGACAAAGAACAAGGGGATGGACTGAGGGCTTGATTTACGAGGCCAGATCAAGAGAGACGTGTGCACCTTGGCTGAATGACAGCACGTGGGTATTAGAGCGACACAGTGGGGAGGGAACATTGCACCAACTCCTGTTGGTGAGAGAGACGAGCTTTGGAGCCGCACAGAGCTCTGCTTCGGCGCCGGGAAAGGAGCTTCCAGCGTCACAGCCAGGTGGAAAAGAGTGTTTGGCATAAATGGTTTGCACCTATTCTAAGAGACCATTCCAGGAGGTCTGGCAGGTCCCTGTGGATGGGAGAATGGTGTAAGCTCCATGGAGGGACAAGAATTGTCTAGGGTTGCCTTAGAAGTAAGGGGCTGATGGGAAGTCTCCTAACCATGAGATTGGTGAGCGTGAGGACGGGGAGAGGTGGTGGGGGAGTCTCGTTATCGGAGTCATTGGGACAAAGCACAATGGCAAACATCACAAACTAGAAGATCGCAGTGGTCTGGATTGGAACCGGGATGGCAGTGGTCTGGATTGGAACCGGGATGGCAGTGGTCTGGATTGGAACCGGGATGGCAGTGGTCTGGATTGGAACCGGGATCGCAGTGGTCTGGATTGGAACCGGGATGGCAGTGGTCTGGATTGGAACCGGGAGCAGCCCCTGCCAGCAGCCTGGGTCCATGTCAGTCCTTCCGGGGTTGCTCAGAGAGCAACGTTGTCCAACCAGTGCAGCCTCCTTGCCTGTGTCAGTGTCCGGCAGCTGATTTCCTATTGGTCCCCTGGCAGCTTTCATCTGGGTG